AAAAATGGAGATCTTTTATAAAGGTTAAAATCTCATTCAATTTTATGTCTTACAGGGTCTATACTGAGTGCAATATTGTATAACTGTATTAATTCAACTGTGAACCTAAACATTTACAACCACTTTTGAAAGAGCTGTATCCTTGCTCTGAAAATTGTTATTGAATATGTTAAAGCTGTAATGAAATGCTTCTTCTAATCATGTGGTTATCAAAAAATAAAAATAATATAAAAAAATTAAAAATTGAAAAAAATGATATCCTGGATGGGTGAGAAATGGCATGCCCCAAACCCACAAGGTTAATCCAGTGCCAAAGATGGGCTGTCACCAATGGCCAGGGAAGCTCTGAGGCCCCCAGAATGATAAGGGCTATTGCTATTGCTGTTGGTTACAAGCCAAAAATAGAAGGTAAGACTCTCTTACTACAGGCACTGCATGCTTTGGTGGCAGGCTCTGGAGAAATAAAGCAGGGATTGAGCCGGAAGTGTTCCCTCCCTGCTGGCTGACTTCATAGTGCTGTCATGTGCTATGCAAACTGCTGAAGGAGAACCGCTGCCACAGTCCTACTACTCAGCTGTGGAGACTATGTGCTGCACTGTGGAGGTGCCCATGATATGCCATAGCACAACAGACACATGGATTGTTTGGAGTGCAACTGACAACTATAGACTTAAGGTTCACTCCACAGGGGAAAATTCATATCCTGTATTCTAAGTTTGGACAAAAATCTGTAGCCCCAGAGGGGAAGAAACTGCTAGTGTTTTGTTGGATGGATAAGATGTGCCTGTCAAATTGCCTTCTAAACATTTGTGCTCATGCCCACAGGGCATTATCATTGCTGTTACCACTGCTGTCTGCCTTGGCTATGGAAAGCTTCTTAAAATTGGTTGCTGATGGTGTAACTCTCATAATTCACTGCGCTGTTGTAATAAGTCACTGCTGAGGCAGCATGATTGCCCTCATAAAAAGGGAAAGTGTTTTTATTTTATTTTATTTTATGTATGTGAGTGTATCGCCTGCATGTATGTGAGTGTATCCATGTCATGCAATGCCACGGAGGTCAGAAGAGGGCTTCGGATTCCCCTGGAACTGGAGTTAAGGACAGTTCATAGCTGCCATGTGGGTGCTGGGAATCGAACCCGGATCCTCTGCAAGAGCAGTCAGTGCTCTTAACTGCTGAGCCATCTCTCCAGCCCCAGGGAAAGTGTTTTATGGTAGCTATTTCTCCAGATATAATATGATTCCAGTTTAGACTTGCTCTGGTAGCCATCACAGCTAGAGAAAAACAGTATAATGCTAGTCAGGTCTGTGGTAAAGGTAATAGAGCTGCTGACACACCCTAGGGAGTTGGGGAAGGGGGAGTCAGGAGACCCTCACCTGAGGTTCCCCCTCTCCCAGCTACAAGTGATCTTGAGAGATGCTAGATTTTATAGAAGAAGTGGAAGGTTGTTGAAAGTGAGACTCCATGAGGCAGCATCCAAGAGGTCCGCTATCCCTGATGGGGTGGGGCTTGCCAGCACTGCAGCTGTTTGGAGGCTGCCCACGCTCCTGTAAGCAACCACCCACCCATGCTCCATAAATACAGGAAACTGAGGCATGGGACCTTCCATGCACAGAGACGGCACCCAAGAGACTCACATGGAGAACTGGGGAAGTTTGTTCACACAGGGGCCTTGAGCAGAGCTTCCTCCTGAAAAATATGAGCTCCTAGTTTAGTTCCTCCACAGTTTTCATAGGTTTCCCCACATCCTGTGATTACCAGCACAGATGCTTACATGCCCTAAGACCACCGAGGGGAAATTCCTTCTTGCAGGCATGGAGGGAGATATTAAGGGCAGGAGTTAAAGCATTCTTTAACAATAGAATGTTCTGCACTCACCGTAGCAAGCAAATGTTGCACCAAATAACTGTGTCACTCATTTCTCAAGATCCTTTTGAGCTCTTTGGTGTTCTTCATTTTAGTTTTGATTCCTCTTTCAGCACAAACTTTTAGTAAGCATTCATAAAACCACTGGAAGGTAAGTGCTAGGTGTTAAAGTATAAAATCAGTAATAAAATGACATTAAATGCATGGGTGTATTTCTTTTCCTCTTCACTATAAACAATCCCAGCAATCTCATTAGTCTCATAAAATTGAACTTTGTTAAAATTATACTTTGGTCTGTCATTGGTGCCTGTCTGGGGTGATAAAACATTCATTCACTCATGTCTCCCCAGGAAAAGATAACACAACAGGAAAGCCACCTTACAGGGAAAGTGCAACAATGGGCCCTGTTCATGAATCCATGGTCTTACCTGCTAACATCCAGAAGCAGCTGGATTGACAGAACTGTTGTGGTCTTTTGGGACTCATTATAGCACCAGTTAGGTGACAATATCTTTCAGGATTGGGACAAGATTCTTCAGAAGGATGTATATACTCTGAATCTGTGTCTAATATATGGAGCTGTTCACCAATAACCAGGATTCCTAAGTCTAAAACTTAAGCAGTGAAAATGGAACAGAGAGCCTCAATGCATCATGGTGGCAAAGGCATGACAGCATTCCTAACATTCTGGAATATGTGGTGAAGACTGTTCTCATGGTGACAGAACAAGAAGTAGAGGGTCAGACCAGATGTCACATGATTCTTATTTGTCCAATTACAGATGATATTCATTTGATGAGTTGAAAATACCAGTGTAGGGGCTGGAGGGATGGCTCAGCAGTTAAGAGCACTGACTGCTCTTGCAGAGGATCCAGGTTCGATTCCCAGCACCCACATGGCAGCTATGATCCATCCTTAGCTCCATTTCCAGGGGAATCCAAAGCTCTCTTCTGACCTCCACGGCGATGCACAACACGGGTGTGCTCACACACATGCAGGCAATATACTCATACACATTAAAAAAATAATAATAAACAATAAAGTCTTTTAAAAAAAAAGAAAAGAAAATACCAATGTAAAGGGGCTATGTGACTTCCCCACAGTAATGGGGCTTTCCTCTCTTTGTCATCAGAAAGTATTTTGTGGATATGGAATGTAAAATATTATGAAATATACTGTTTCCTGTCAAACTTTGATTTTACTGATTTATTTGTATGGACTTGTAGCTTTCATCATTCAAAGTGTTGCAATATATTCCTGCAGTGAGTTTTGGTGTTCAAATTGTCCTAGATTTAGCTAGTGAAAGTTTATTCAAATTGGATTTTTGAGAACTTTTGACATATTCCAATCGTTGTTTGAGATCTTCAGTGGTTACTTTCATAATCGTTGTGACCAAAATATACAACAGAAATAACCTAAACAAGGAAAGATTTATTTGGGCTCATGGTTTTAAACGGTTTCAGTCCATCATGGAGAAGACACAGCAAAGTTCATGTCAGCAAGAGTGTGTGATGCAGACTCCTCACATGGTAGAGAGAAGGACCAGAACCAGCACTGGACAGTAACCTTCAGAAGCCCACCCACTGACCTACTTCTACCAGCCAGGCCCCACAGCCTTCCAAAATAGTATCACAAGCTGGGGACTAAGCACTCGAAACATAAGCCTGTGGAAGACATTTCAGATTTTAAATAAAGAACCTTCTTTGCTTTCTGGCACAAGTAGTTACTTCAAGTTTCTCTTTCTGTGTTCTTTCTCTGAAATCAGCCTCTCTCTCTCTCTCTCTCTCTATATATATATATCTCACACACACACACTAAATATAGATACAGATATATGTTAGCAGTATTGGAGTTTGAACTTAGGGCTTTACTCACACTAGGTAAGCACTCATCTGTTATACATTTATGGATGCATCTTACATTCCTCTTGTTCTCTTCTTTCTGTCTCTCGTGTGTGAGAGAGAAGGAGAGAGAGAGAGAGAGAGAGAGAGAGAGAGAGAGAGAGAGAGGAGAGTTTGGTGCTACAAATAGAACCCAGGGCCTAATGCATGCTAGGCAAGCGCTCAAACACTGAACTGCTACGAACTCACCTGTCTTCATTCATTTCTATATTTTGAAGCAGGATCTCACTAAGTTAGTCTGTTACTCTGGCTGACCTTGAGCTCACTTTGTAGTCCAGGCAGACCTTGAATTCATTATCCTTCTGAGTAGCTAAGAGCACAGACCAGTGCTGGATGGCCCAGCTAATATGGACAACTGAAAAATTTGGATATATGCCTTCACCAGAGGACCCACCACCACAATCAAGGGACTAAGCATTCATCTCCTCCAAAAAGAAAAACAACATTGTAATTTTTAAAAGATGATGATTCATCAAACAGAAGGACTGAGGGGCACTACTTTAGTCTGTTAACAGTTACCACGTTATCACACAGACCAGATATCTTAAACAACAGAAAATTATGTAGCAAGAATTCTAGAAACTAGAAACTTGAAATCAAAGTACCATCAGGATTTATTTCTTCTGAGAGCTCACCTCCCTGGCTGTCACCTCCCTGTGTCTCACATCATCTTCCATCCAAATATGTCTATATCTAAATCTTCTCTTCTATATAGAAATATTTTATTTTCACTCTATTACCTTTTTAGACCTTACCCCCAAATACAATCATATTCAGAGACTTAGAGCTTTAACATATTCACTTAGAGGAGGCACAGTTCAACCTATAACAGATATATAATCACACCAAAATTTTTTTCTTCATTGCTTTTGTGTTGTCTTTGTAGTGCAGGTATTTTCACTCCAATTTCTTAGTTCTTATGACTTAAAAATATGTCTGATGAATAATTTGTCATTCATGGTTCCCATTTATTGATAATTTTCTGAGCTATTTTTTATGTGTTTATGTATGTATGTATGTATGTATGTATATTTGGTACTAGGGACCAAACTCAAAGCGTCATGCATAGTAAGTAAGTGTTCTACCACTGAGCTACACCTACCAGCCATAAAGACAATTCTCTGTGCTTCTAAATCACAGTAGATTATACTCTCAAAACTGAAACTCCTGCGGCCTACTTCCTCGCTCTGCTTCTGTGTGGAGTATTCACACACCCTGAGCAGCAGAAAGCATCGGGAAGCCAGCCAGCTTCACAGCTTAATGGTTTAGTTGTTTAGTTGTTCTTTGTTTTTATTTTTTAACAAGATCCTCAGGCTCATATCTGAATAAAAGTAAGAAAACAAAGTAACTGCTTTCAAGTTTCTGACATAAAAAGTTTTCAGGAAAATTCTGGTAAGTCTCTGAATTATTAAATCTTTCTTTGTTTCTTATGCCATGGTGGTAAAGCTATTTCTTAAAGGTCTAGCTGTACTTTTTATATCAATACATGCTTATAAATAAACCATTTCTTATAAACTATTGAATTAATTAGGAATAGCAGTACATTTCGTACACAGCGGGATATTTAACTGATAGTAACTTGTAAATGTTTTCCTAGAAAGAAATATTCCATTAAGTGCAATTAGCATGATGAGACTCCGTCAAGGCAGTGAGAGGGCTTCTCATGAGCCAGAAGGGTGATTAGGAAAAAGGATAAAGAAGCAATGCAAAGAGAGTCAGGAATTTAAGCACAGAAAGTTGTAACCGAACCTATAGTCCTGTGTGATTATGCAAATTTCTACCTTCCCTAATGGTAAGATGTTCTTAAAAGTTTTATACTTTATCAAAGACCAAACCTTCTAGAATCTAGGAATTTAAATCTTCCAGTCACTTCTATTTCATGCAGCAATGAAGCTGAAAATTTTTTAAAAAGTCAGTGTAGACTTCTGTACTTCACGAAAACAAAACTTGTGTCTGGTTTCAGTTTGTCAGATCGTCAAAGGAGGGTGTGTGCAGCCCTCTCTGGACTGCAGCCAGGACTATGAAGTTTGTTTCCTCTCCGAGTTTTAGAGAGAACCTTCTCAGGGCATGCTAAGGGTGATGTTGAGGAGTGATGTTTCAGGGTGATGTTGAGGAGATGAACATACCCCTGTGCTTTTCCAGATGAACTCTACTAAGCTGGTATTTCTTGCTCAACATCAGAGTGAAAAATGCAGTTGTCCCCGGAGAATGGCATTCTGCAGCTGCCAATAATTAACATGGCTAAGCTTTGTGGTCACATTTACTTCAAAACAGGAAGCGGAGGGGCCCTAAGATGTCAAAACTTATGATAAAATATTCTGAAAATTTGTTTAAACCAATAACAGCAATTTGATTTTGCTTAGTTCCAATACTACATGTGCAGAGGCTCTTAAAATTCATAAAGTGCAAAATATTTTAAAAGCTTTACTGAATACCATACGTTTGAATCATCCTATCATGTTGAGACAGGTGTTGCTAATTTTCTATTTAATGAAAGAAAAGACTCGGGGCTAGAGAAATGGCTCAGCACACCATGCACTAAAGGAAGGGATAGGTGCAGAGGGAAATTCCTGGGATGCTGCTGCTTTCTAAAATGCTGGGTCCCCTTTTGGCTAAATCCAAAGAAGAAATCTGAAGGTTCTCCTCCGTCTTCAGACTAACCAGAGGGAGAGCGGACAGTTAAATATCTGACAGAGTACTCTGTCTGAAAGGCAAGGTGGCATTGCGTCTACCTGGTCAAGGTGAGTCTGAGGAAAGGAGCAAGTCCCTCCCTGGGAAGTGTGCTTCTGAACTGGCACTGGGACTTGACACTAGGGCCTAGGAACACCAAGTGGCCTCCTCCAGGGTCTACCTTGTGTGAGAAATGGCCTCAGTTTCAGACTGAGTGGCGCAGAAGGAAGCTGGGAATGTGTACTATGAAACTGGATGCAGGAGAAAAGAGATGTAATCATTTTTCTATCCTTTTCCTAAAACTCGCTTTTCATGTGACCACTTCATAGAATCCGGAGTTTGTTCTGACTTAGTGAGTAGCTTAAAGAGACATCCCCAGATACCTGTCTGGCATTTCAGTCAAATAAAATAATTACCCTGATAAGATGAGGAAAGTCCTTTGACCTACAGACGTTGCTAGCTTGAGGCCTTTCAAAAATGTGTATTTTTACTCTAAGAATAAATGCTGTTCATTCAGTAAGCGTTAAAAAGCTCGTATACAATAAGCTCTGTAAGTTAGTGAGCAAACTGCACAAAATCTCTTGGTCTCATGGAGTGTATACAATAACGAGTGAGACAGAAATTGAACAAGACAAATAGGTAAATATATATGTATTATATATATTTGTTTGTGATAAGTTCTCAACAGGTAAAAAAGAAAGTCGGAAGAAGGTTAGAAAATGTTGGGAAATGGGGAAAATGGGGGCCAGTAAGCTGGCCATACAGTGCACCCTGAGAAGGTGACATTTGAGAAAGACTTCAAGGGTGTAAAGAATCAAAGAACCAAGAACCACGGGTGTCCAAGGATTTTCCAGGGAGAAGAACAGGTATAATAGTCAGAAATAAGACCTTTTGCTGTTTGCAACAAGGAGCAACAAGACGGTCAGGAGGCTAGTGAAGATTTAGAAGGATGGAGGAAGAAAGGGAGAGAGACAGAGACAGAGAAGGAGAGAGAGACAGAGACAGAGAGAGGGGTGTAATATGAGAAGTAGAATGTAGAATGAATGTGTAATATGAGAAGTAGAAGTAGAATGAATGTGTAATTCATAATAAAGAACTTGACTTTCATTGTCAGTCAACTGGAAAGCCACTGGGAAGACTGAATGGAATACTGATATATTACTTACATTTTTAACAAGGCTGCTCCATTGAGATTTTGAGAAGTCTCTGAAACAATTGTTAACAAGAGAGAAACTGGTAAGGATGCTATTCCTACAATCCAGGAGAAACATGATGGGGCTTGGACCCAAAGAGGGAGGAGGTGGCAAGAGGGAGGAGGTGGCAAGTGATCAGATGCTAGGTACAGGTTGACCAACTTAGGATTTACTTCACATTACAAGGAGTCTTGTGGCCATGTTATCACCTAGAAGTCGTGATTGGATTCTCTCTGTGTCTCTGTCTCTGTCTCTGTCTCTGTCTCTCTCTCTGTCTCTCTCCCTTTGCCAATTAATGACTTAAAAGCCAGGAAGCATCTCAGACACAGCAGAGAGCAACAGCAAACTTGCTTTATGTTTTTTATGAAAAATCACACATACACATATTCATACAGAGAGAAAAGCTCTCCACAAATGGAAAAAAGAGCTGAGGTGGAGGGGAATGGGGAAGTTGGGTCTTGGTCTTATCTAAACTGGTCTGGAACAGTCAGTCAGACCAGTTTCTGCTGGTGCAAGAAAAATCCTGCCAGGTCTTCATCAGACCAAGAAGAAGCAAGAAATGTGCCGTCTTTATTACTCCCCAGTGACCCTGCTTCTTTATCAGGAATTTAGTTCTTGCAGGAAAATGTAGAAGAGAAAAGGCAGGCTTGCAACATGATTTGGGGTGTTTCGTTGTTATACTAAAGTGTTCTAAAATAGGAAAAGATGCCATCTTAGGGAAGTGGATGGCTTTCACTATTCTATAAAGCTCATGCTTAAAATGTTTGATGTAGTAAGTTCGGGGGAGGGGGATATGCACCATAAACTCTTGCACATTTCAGATCAAACAGCCCCAAGAAGACATTTCAAGATACTCTATAAAAAGCAGAAGTTTCCAGAATAACTCTGATAAATTTCTAATCATTAAAGGCTCATTTATTCTCTTTAAAAGTTATCCTTAAAAGCTGACATCTAAAGCCAAGCATAATCCTAGCATTTGGGAAGTGGACACAGAAAGACCAAGAGTTTGAGGCCAGCCTCAGCTATATAGTGAGTTTATAGCATAGCCTTGCCTACATGAGACTCAGTTTCAAACAAGGCAAAATACAAACAAAGCTTAATTCTAAAACCTAAACAGATCTTTTAAAATGCGTATATTTTCAAATGTATATGTAATTTCTTATTAAATAATTCTAAAAAGAATGAGAAATATCACTTCTTTCATACATGTACCACTAGATGTGACTAGTGCCAACTACAGAATCTTTTAAAAAGAAAGCTGTTAGTGAGCCTGGTGCATGAGCATACAGAATATTTCTGAAGATGGAAGGTTCTGAGGATGATCAAGAATCTAAGCATACTAAACCACGTAGACTACTATAAGCAACTACAAATTCTATCATACATAATATATCAAAAGTTACATCCAATCAGAGAGAGATCCTGCCAAAGTTTAATCAGCATTTTATTCTTTCTTTTGTGGCCAGCATACAGAGACTATATGAAAAAAAATGCAGTGTTGTAATATGTCTTTCAGGAAAATGAAACTAACTGCTTTGTGGTTTCATTTCCCCTGAACATATGAGAGCAGGGTGGGGCCTGTTGGGCGCCAGCCAGGCTTGGGGGCAGGGAGACCTGGGTTGCTGCTGAGCCCTAGCCACTTACAGGTCAACAGCAACATGAGACAGCATGCCTCTCTGATCCTTTCTGCTCAACCACAAAGAGAGCAAGTAAAAGTTCTTCAGAAATAGATTGTAGAATTGTGTGCTAAAAAGAAAACTGAGTCCCAGAATGCCTCAGCCTGCCTAAGTATAAGGTGAAAGACTTGCCCCAGCTCCAACCTCCCTACCCTTTACCCTTGTTAACACAGAGGTTTGCTGACCATTTCCTTTGACATCCTTCAGGGACAACCAAGACAACACTGATTCCTCTCCCATTACCCTCTTTTATGAAACAGTCTGGCTGGGAAAAGATCTAGTTTAGCCATCATTTAGTTTTCTTGATCACAGCTCCTTCCCTGTATAAACACAGTATAAATTTCTGCTAAGCAACAAGGGCCAGTGTGTTTAGAAATCTGCTTACAATTCAGGATTTAAAGTTGAAGTCATAGAAAGAGCCAAGGAAGTATGTCAAAGTATTATTAGCACATTTTTTGCCCAAATAGTTGTCACTCTGAACTAAATACATAGCTCCTGTATTGTATTGCACAAACTAAGTAAAATGCTCATAGAACTGATTGGGGGGACTAGAAAGATGGCTTAGTGGTTAAGAGCACTGGGTGCTCTTACAGAGGACACAGGTTCAATTCCCAGCACACACATGACAGCTAACAACCATTCATAATCCCAGTTCCAGGGATCCAAGACCCTCTACTGACCTCCTCAACACTGCAGAACACAGGTTCACTTACATAAATAGAGGCAATATATTCATACATATAAAATAAAAATAAAATATTTTAAAAAACCGATAAAGGGTAGAAGCCATGTGAAAGTGCTTTTTACATATGCAGTAGCTGCAGGCTGAGGGCATAACTTAGTGATAGAGCAC